TGTGACGAAATTAAATAAATAAATACATAATAATTAAATATATAATTTAATTTTTCAATACATCACTAAATACAGTAGTCCCTCGTTTATCGCGAGGAAGCCATACCTTGAAGAGCCGTAATAAGAGAAAAACTACAAAGTAGGAATAGTAGTACAAGTATTGGTAGTTTATTTTATTATATATATATATATATATATATATATAGTACAGAAGATTTTGTGATTTAAAAATGTTAGTTAAAAAAAAGGAACGTAAAAAATGTATTAATTGCTTAAATCAACCCAAAACTGACAAACACTCATTAAAAAAAATTCAGAGTTGCAGGATCAGCTACAAAAAGTTTCATGATTAATTATAAATTTGTTTCCAACTGTCTGAGTTTATATTTTATTCTTTTAATTTGAATGTAATACTTTTCTTATATTTTGCAACAAAAAAAACAACAACACTTTTTTTGCACACAACAGTGAATAAAGCTTTATGACAAAATGAAACCTGTAGGAGTCTCAGTTTTTACATGATGTTTTGATTTTTACCTGAAAGTCTTTAAGGAAGAAAACAGTCAAATATGAAGTATAAATCACAGCTTCAACCAGTAAGTGGGGATGGATTTAGTTGCGTTCCAACAAAATAAGAGCAGAACAAACTACAGAGAGCCTGAGGGGTGAGCAGGAGGACAGGTCGACATGACTTCCACAGCAGCAGATTTCATTACAAGCGTGTGAGAAACAGACGGATATTTTAAAATGTCACCGTCAGGTGGGAGGGAACTGAAACCCAAGAAGTGTTTTCCCTGCCTCTTCACCTCTCTGTTCTCTGGAAATAAAATCTCCACACAGGATCCAACATTAAAACATTGGCTTTGGCCACACAGCAGTAAAACTCCATCCTGCAGCTGATTGCCAAACCTCAGCTTCAGTGGTCCAGTTCTCCGCTCCTCCTGGATCCAGTGGTGGGAACAAGTCTGGTGGTGGGAAGTGTTTATCTGCTGAAACCGCTGACTCATGGAAATGAAAGCAGCAGGTCATAGAGGTCAAACGATTGATTATTGATTTGCCTATACATGATGTTCTTTCATCAAAAAGTGCACTCACTCGTTAAGGATAAAAACTTAAAGGGGTAGTTTGGACATTTTAAAACGAGGTTCTGTGGAAGAGTTGTGAAAAACAAACAGCTTTTTGAAAGACCAGTTTGGAGGAATAGAGTTTGTCAAGCTTGTCCAACAGGAGGCTAGCATTAAGTTGCTGTCGTAAAATGACCAAAAATTATAAAATTTCACTGAAATTTATGCAAAATGATGTAATAGATATTGTGCTGAACTTGCGCGAGGGAGGCCAGAGTTCAAAATCTCATAAAGAACGATTTTTTTGTTTGTTTGTTTTGGAACAATTCATGGCTAGATGCAGATTTAAAATCAATGTAGACATTCACAAAATGTTTTATGTCATATTTAGTCCAGTTTTTTCTCTTCACATTTGTTTAGTCTAAAACTTGCTCACGTGCTGCTTCACACACCTGTTTACAGTATATGAGCTTTGCTTAGATGTCAAGAGCAGCAAAAGGAATATCTCCCACTTTTTATGAACTTGTGGACATCTTGTGGTCATAAATTATCGTGAAATCACTGAAAGTCTTTTTTTTTCCTGTATGATTTGTAGTCAGAAGAGATGTAGAACAGTTTCAACAATAAAAAGAAACAATTTTAGCTTTTTCCCCAAAATAGTGGATAGGTGGCTATTTGGACTGAAACCAACTCAAACTTTATGAAGGGAAGTAGAATGTGGTGATTATTTTTAATATAAATTTTATGAATTTTGGAATAAGAAAGTAAATTCTGAAACATTAAACAAAACAAAAAAATACATTTTTGCCTTATTGCCAAAAGTGTTAAAATCCTGGCATGAATTACGATGAAATCTGGAAGATTATACATTTTTTTAACACTGCAAAAATATCTATTGACAAGCTAATTTGAGTAGAACCACTTCCATAACAAATTTCTACAAATTAAAACTTTTTTTTTAATTTATTTGTGTATATTTCTGTTGGAAGTGCCACAAGCTGATTAGCTCAAGTGGCTGCTGCCATTTGAAATGGTAAAAGACTGCAGAAATTTGTGCAATGTGAAATTAATGGTGGTGTAAATGTTTATGAAATAGTGTTTGCATTAAGAGGTACAACTTTTATTTTTTTATTTTTTTTTTACATTGGAGTTGTTTTATGGCTTCAGCAGTCCACTTTGGTTTCAGCTTATTTTGGATTATTCGCCAACTCGTGAACTTATTTTAATTCAACTCTATTTTTCCAAACTGTTTGGAGAGCTATCTGCAGCAGGTAAGATGTGAATTGTTCACAAAACTCCACACTAAAAGATCAGAACTATAATTTCAAATCCTTGCAGAAACAGAAATATCACGAGAAGTGTCCGATTTTGTTGTTTTTCAAGCCATAAAAAAATATGCACTTGTTAACTTATCGGTCCTTTCTTTCAAAATGCTCAAAAAACTATGTACAGTGACCTGCAACAACAAAACCTGAAGGCATTCATCCCCAAAAAAAAAAGCAAAAAAAAAGCAACCCTCTGACCTCAAATCAGATTTAGTTCCTGCTCCTGAATGGGTGCTTATAGAAACACAGAGGTTTGGTAATCTGATCTGAAATCTGTTCTCAGAGAGGTGACTTGGACTTCCATTCGTCTGTATCAGGTTGTATTTAAACTGTGGCGCACTGAGCATTTTAGCTAGCCTGTTGTTAATCTGCTTAACGGAGCTTTAGAGAGATGGAGTTTCTCCCTCTGTTGCACACACACCAACCCCCTCTTTATCCCGTCTTTCACACAAAGACAAATTTACTGTTTTATACGCTTTCTCTCCCTCTCTCACTGTATTCCATCCTGTCCATTTTCATTTCCTCCCTCTCACCTTTCAGACCTTGTTACAGTCTTATCCCCATCTGTCTCTCCTTGTTCCCCTCTCACACAAACGACCAGTTTTCAGGAGTTTACGTCCACATGATACTTTCTGTTTCATGCATTGACTTTTTTGGTTTTTCACTGAATCCTGGGAACACAACATGAAACAAAAGCATGAGATTTTTTATAACCAAAGTCTTTTTTTTTTTCTTTTTTAAACAAAATCATCTTTGTGCAGCTCCCACAGAACCACAAAATTATGGGATTTATGTATTTACAGCAATTACTCCGTCTGGTTACACCAGTGTCTACATGAGGTTTACACTGACCCTTCCAAGAGCAACATGCCAAATGATTTGTGCAAAGAGACATCCAACTTGCATTAATTCTCTCGTTGGTCAACCGCCTGACCAACAGGCATGAGTTGTTTGTTTCTTTAAATGAATTTAGTCAGCTGCTGATGTGTCATAAAAAATGTTTAATGTCTGGAACTTGAAAAGTTGACAGAAATGGCTACAAAATGCACAAAAAGCACAAATCCTTGTCTAAGGATCCAGGACTAAAGTGGCCGCACACGAAGTTTAACTTTGTGGCTCCATTTGGATGAAGTGAGAGAGCTTTTCATAACCATCATAAAAAACATGTCTTTAAATTCTCCTATACGGTTATGCGCTTTTCAACAATGTGTTTAAACTTTGACCACGCCGTTGCTTGTGTCTGTATATGTGTTTATCTGTCTGTTAGTAAAATATCTCTGAAAACCACTGAATGGATTTAATGGAAACTCTCGTAAAATCATTTGCCAAATAAATCACTACTTTTATTCAAAACCTCTTTCCACCTGGTTTTAACGTTACCTCCCCTTTCTTGGAGCCGTAACATTAATGGGGGCTCGTCCGGGATCTGAACCCACGACCTCTCACTTCCAAAGCGAGAATCATATACCTAGAAAGATTATTAAATTTTGGAATCAAACTGATTCAAGATAGCCACTACAGCTAACCAACCTTGTGAAATACAATAATTATTATAACTCAGTCAATTTCAAAAATACTGGGCTAAAATCTGGTGTGGTTGCAGCATTTAATAACTTGTCATTTTTTCCTTTTTTGACCAGAAAACTCTGTAATTTTGTGTTACTGTTATGATAAGCACTAAAAAATAAAAAAAAATAAAAATTATTGCTGTTGATATAAATTTAACAAAATACTGAATATTTTGTTGTTATTATTGTGTTTACAACATAAGTTTACGATGATAATTTTGCTTTAATGCCAGCACTGAACTGCCTAAACTTGCTTTTTATCTCACAAATAAATGACAAAACTCAGGAGAATATTTAACTTTAAAAAAAATCTATATATTAAAGTCCAAACTGAGTGAGCTTCAGGGGAAAGTATAAGTTACCTTCTTCTTCACATCCTTCAGTGTTTGTGGCTGAGACGAGGGATAAAATCACCCCTGAAAACATTTAGCTTTAGTAAAAACACACCAACGCGGGTTTAGCTTCCATTTTGAATAAAAAAAATTATAATTCTTAGTTGCTTTGCAGACATCCAAAACCTTTTTTTCCTCCCCAAGGGCTCTTTTCTGATCACAACACAAAGTCTGTTTTATATAAACATCTTGTTTTATTGTCAGTAAAATATCCTCCACCTCCATACTTTATGCAGAAAGCATACCAGAAATAGAAGCAGACAGTAATAAAAAGGAACAGTTATGAAAATAAGAAAATATAAATGAATGAGTAATTATTTTCTCTTGTTTTTGTTTGATTTTACAGTGAAAGAGCACATCTCGGAGTATAAAACCTAATCCCAGTCGTTGTTCTTAGAGAGGATTTCAAACAGGAAGTAAGAAAATAATCGTAGTCTCTGATTGAAAAGGACAGATTCTCCTCTATGTCACAGATCCCACATCAGTTCTGCTAGGAAAAAACCTCAAATAATAACGTCCATTAATGTCAAAATGCTTCTTTTCGATATGGAGAAATTGCCGTCCTGTTTGAGAGACTCATTTGGGTCTGAGAGTTTGATGCTTTGAGTCATTATTCTCCATCAAACCACAAAAATCCAGTGGCTCTGTACCGTATGCTCCGTTAAACTTGATGCTCGATAGCAGATGGGGAAGAAGTCGTAAACAGTTCTTGTTGTGTCTTCATCTTCTTCCTTGTCTCATCTGTTCCTTTTCACCTGATCCCTAGATATAAAAGCATTTGAGTGAAAATGAGACCAGATAAACTCATGTCATGCAAGAATTTTAATTTGTTCAAGAAAACAAAACATATTTGTTGTGTCCGTTTTTGTTTACTCGTCGTTGCTTTAAAAAAAAAAATGAACGGTTAGTTATTGGCTGCACAGAGAATTTACACACCATCTCTTAAGTTTTAAGAAACCCAATTTTTTGGGAGTGGGGTCTATTTCTGTCTTGACAATTTAGCATGATAAACCTGAGTGCTAAATAAATAAGAAAATAAATGTTTGTTAGTTTTTGCTGTTCCCTTTTTTAAAGTTTGCCACAGCAAGCAAAATTACACGAAAGATTTAACAGTTATTTTACACCAGAAGTCCTTCCCTACACAACCTGGGCTCAAACCTGCAGCCTTATTATTATTATTATGAGATCACAGCACTGACAACCACCGTTCACAAATAAACAAATAAATAAATACCTTGACTAATAAAGCCATAGTCAATAATTTTGTTTGCCCAGACAGTAATTGGTGGGTCATCTTTTAATTACTTGTGTTTAATTTTAATGTAATTTTTATTTGTTCTAATTTTTTCGTTCCCAAATTGTATTGTAAAAAAGGGGCTTTATTATGGAGGGTGGGTTTTTGAAAAAGGATGCGTTGGTGTGTGTTCTTGTATGAATCAATCATGTGTGTCTTCAGTTAAAGCCGAGCTGTTCCTGTTGGAGAAAAAAAAAAGAGCTTAATTTCTCTTCCCTGTGCAGTGCAGGTAATTTGTTATTTTTACTTTTTATTTATTGTACTCAATCCCCAATGGGGAAATTAATTCTCTGCATTTTTCTCATTGCACATGTGAGCACACACATGTGAAGCAGAGGGCTGTCATGGCATCCGTTTCAACTTGGGGGTGGGTTAAGGCCTTGCTCATGAGCCAGAGTGGGGCAAATGAGGGTAGAGGCAGGTGTGGGTGTTTCACCTTTTCCACCCACGTTTTGATGTAGTCGGTCTGGGGAGTTGATCTGCGACCCTCCGATCACAGGCCCACCCTCTCTAACCTCTACACCACCACTCCCCCAAATCAAATCAGAAGAAGCTGATATGTCATTCAATAACCTTATAACACACACACACACACACACACACACACACACACACACACACA